ACACACAGATATTAAGAAGAATTATGGATATATAGATCGGTAACATTTCTATTATTAGAATAGTCATGTTTGATATATCAAAATATTTATTATTAAAATATGTTGATTAGATAATGATTTCAATTTATCTTATATAAAATACTCAATATTAAATTATATTTTCATTTAAGTATTAATTTACGTAGTAATAGATTGTTTAGTGTTGTATGATATTATGTAGTAAGTTTCATTAAACAGATAGTATTCATTTTAAATCAATTAACTATTTTCCATAATTGTATGATCATTTTTAGTAATAAAGGTTTAAGTTATTTTTTTCTTAACATTTACAGAGTTTGGTCAAATGTAATATGTTCAATTGAATGTATATTTGTTTATTTTATGTATGACACGGAGGTGTAAAGATATGAAACTTGGATTAGAATTAAAATGAATTGATATTATTCACAACTCGTTTATTAAGAAGAATGAAAGACACAACAAAAAAACCTTACAAACTATGAAATAAATATTTTGTGATAAGAGATTAAGTTGTGTGGAATATATGTGTTAAAAAAAAAGTGTTGATTGACAAAACAGAGATCAATTCTTCCAATAGTCATATTTAATTGGACACAACTTGTAAATGAATCACGTCCAATATGTTAGTGATGTTAGAAGATGGACTTTTCTAATTCTAATCAAAACAAGAAACAACAATCTCTTTCTATTATAAAACAATACGTTCTCTCTAAGAAAATACAATTTGCAAAATAATAAGCATCAATACAATTTATGTTTCTTGGTATTTGTATTTGAGTAAGATGTCCACAATCTTTGAACCAATATAATCCAAACGTGTTACTGTGGATGATAATGAGATTTTCATACCAAAGAAGCAATAACTGGGGAGTTCTACCAATGAAGATGGTAGTAGAAGTGATTTGATATGATAACAATTTGTAACATTTCTTCATAAAGAGAGGTGATGCATTGAGGAAGAATGATTTCTTTGAGACTAAGACAACCATTAAAAGAACCTGATCATTTTTGATTGAAGATGATAATGGATATTTGTTAGAGAAGTGTAAAATACAAACGAAGAAGAAAGGAATAATAGTGTTGAAGGTAAAACAACAGACTGAGTGGAGTATTTGAGAATGGATTTTATCCTAATGAGATAAAGAAGTAAAATTCAAATTGAGTAAAGAAGTATCTTTGCAACTAAAACAACACCAGTCTCCAATTCTATTGTCAAAGCAATGAAGTAAAATAAATGATTTGTATTTATGGAAACAAATATTTTCAATTTTTGATAACTTTGAAGAAAGGTGAATTAACTGTAAATTCTCACAAGATTCAAAGATTGTATCTTCTGGTTCTGTTATAGAATCAGAAAGAGATACTTGAGTAATTGAACATTTTTATTAAAACAAATAGTTTTCAGAGAAGAAATAGTTCTAGAATGATAAGTGATGTTAAGGATCTTGGTAATAACAACCAACTCCAAATTTAACTAATGTTGAAGATAAAGAGGAGTTTGAAATCATAACCAAGAAAAGGATAACATCAATTTGGTTTAAATAAAGGGGATAATTTATTTCAGTTAGAGAAAAACAATTAAAGAATGTATTTTGAATACCATAAGAAAGAAATTGAGGCAATTGAATTAATTATAAATGATTACAAGATTTCAAACCACCAATTCCAATTCTAGTAAGATTTGAAGAAAGAGTGATAGAAAAGAAGGAATAACAGTTATAAAAACATTTATTGTTTATTTCAACAAAAAGATTTGGGATATAGAATAGTTTAATTAATGAAGAATTAAATAGATAGTCATCTAGGTTTGTTAATAATTATTGGAAAGTTATTACCGTAGAGGATAGAACTCTCTTTTGAATGTAATTTTTCTAAATTGGACTGGTTTTGAATGTTGTTTAATAACCACACAATATTGTAAATAACTAATTTGGTAATGAAAATGATATTTTATAATTTGAATCAGAATAGGGATTATTTTAAGAATAGACACAGAATGTCTGAAGATGAGAAGAAGTAAATAAAAAGAATACTTTTAACAACAAAATGAAAGGAAATAACAACAAATAAATAAAGAAAATAAATATAATAAAAAAAAAAAAAATAAAATAAGAAGAAATTTAACTTATTTTAAGCTTCTTGTTTAGAAACAACCTTAAGATGGGCAAGTTTCTTATCAATATTAGCTTTCAATTGAGCATGAAGCTTATCAGCAGTTTCCTTATCCTTTCTTCCAAGAAGTGCAAATCTGTTTTCACGAGCAAGGAATGCTTCGAGATCACCTTTAATTTCACTACAATCAAGTTGTAATCCTGGTTTTCCTTGAGCAACTAATCTTGGATCATATCTATATAATGACCAATAACCACTATTAACAGCCATTTTAGCTTCTTCAATTG